ACATTTCTTTCTTTAAACACGCAGAGGATTTCATCTTTCTTTTATAATATAATATTATTGCTTCTTTTCTTCTTCTTCATTTTCTCCTATCACCATAGCTTTTGTTTTATTTTTATTAATTGTCATTCCATAGATATTTTTTTTATTTTTTAGTACTTCATTCCATATTTATATATTTCTTTGTACTTGTTTCTCAGTTTCGGCCAATGTGACGACGTCGTCGGCAAATGCTCCTAAAATGTCTACTCTTCTTAAATTTCCGACTATGAAGCATACCTACCGAGTTTAGTACTCTTAACAAACAATCCTCGAAAACCCAACGTTTAGGTAGAATTTTTTTTGCTCAGAACTTTCGTAAATTTCAAAAATTGTGCTTGACTTCTAGATGGCATTTTCCTTCTGTGGACGTGGACTATAATTTCAGTGATTATTTAGATAAGCTTGTCTGTATTTTCAATAAGGCATTTCCTTTAATTACAATTAAGTCAAAACATCACAAACCCTGGACTACCAAACAGATCCGCATATCAGCCAAGAATATGTTCACTGCTGTACATCAAGAAATGTACTACTAATGTCTTTGTCACTGAATATATCTCCAAGTACAGAGGAACCTAACCAAAACTTATCAAAACAGCTAAAAAAAGTACTATGAGAATCATCTGGGAAGCTCTAAAAATGTTGCAAGGGAAACTTGGTCCATAATGAACGATATTCGAAATAAAACTAACACAACTCAAACATTTTCTCTTCCAAACCTTGAAAATCTAAATAAATACTTCGTTAATGTGAGTAAAAATATAACATCAGCTATTTTCACAACAAGATCCTATTTCATATATCCCCGATTCAAAAAAGGTCTCAAATTCATTCTTTATAAGACCAGTTAATAAATCTGAACTGATCCAAACAATCAGTAGTATCAAAAGCAAATCTTTTTGCTTTTGATACTTTTGATAAAAAGTCTCAATAAACTACCGAAGTACACGGGGTTGCACTTCAGAAAGTTTGTTATTTAATATATTTCATTGGTAGCTGTGTAATACACGATTATAAAAATTTATTAAATTATTTCATATGGTATTTTCAGGTTGTTCAAGTGAATATACTTGATAATTGAACAATTTTTAACATGAAGAAGTAGTTTTTTTGTTCTACGTGAATAATTGTAGTATATGGATCTAAATTCAGAAAGGTACTTTCCTTCACACTTTTTACAGGTTTAGAACTGTCAGCAAAAAACTGGCGTGTTTAAAAGTGTTTGCTCTTCCTAATCGGATATCGTTAAAAATGTACAGTAATAACAGTTCTATTTACAGTATATACATACAAACGAATACATAATGTACAAAAAATAGATGAATTGAAAAAAAAATATATATACAAGTTTATATTTACAAAAAAAAATAACCAAAATATATTTATGACATCCTAAATACCTAATTCTGTTTCGCTGTCGCTATCCTCTTCAAGATTAATAACAATTGGTTTAATTATGTGATTCAAAGTAACATATGAATTTTCTACGTTCATTACATAGCGTACTGAATTTTTCCAACTTTCTGGGGAGATATCATTAACACATTTCCTTATTAATTCGACTACACCACCACTTAAAGTCGGAGAAACATTTTGTGACCTAACATTTGACTTTAGTTGGTGCCTTATATGCTCTATGGATTAAATAAACAATAGTAGGGCGGAAGCCGTAACACTGTATGTCCCATGTCCTCGACCAATGCATCACAAACATATACTTTTTTAATAGAAAATGATTTTAACACTTCTAACAGTTTATTTTTTAAATAACTTTCTTCAAAATATATATCGTTTTCTAATAGGTAGTTTTGAATTTCAATTTTCGTGTTATTTGCACTTGGAGACTTATGTAATTGACGACTGTGGTAACTTGCATTGTCCATTATTATCACACTATTTTGAGGAAGGTTAGGTATAAGACAATTCTTAAACCATTGCTCAAAAAGCTCTGCCGTTGTATCCTCATGGTAGTCCACGCAGGAGTCTTTAATGTTCTTTGCAGAAAGCCATAAGGCATTTGGGACCCAACCATTTTCTGATCTTGCATGTAAAATTGTTATTCTTTTCCCTTTGTTTGATGGACCTTTTGTTTGACACCTGTTGGAAGAATCGGACCATCCTTTGGTTGGTGTTTCATGGGTGTCAAACCATGTCTCGTCCAGATAAATTATTGGTCGATCTTCTATACGGTACTTTCTTATGGAAGTTATATATTCAGTACGCCACTTTTGTAAACGATGGGACTACATAAGCACTTGCCTTTTGTCAATTGTACCATATCTGAAGCCCATTTTAGACAAAATCCTCCAAAGACTAATGCGGCTACAGTTTATGTGTGTATTACCATTAGTAAGCCGTTGTTTTAAAGCATCTAATGTAGGTATCCGTTGGTCTTTGTACATTGTGTAAATTTTTCGTCTTATCACTTTCTTCAATACATTTAGTAGAACCGGCATCCTTACGCTTATGTAATTCTTTTCACTGTGGTTGGAGATATTTTCGTTAAATCAGATATTTCACTGGCAGCAGTATTAGCAGTAAATTATATTGTAAATAAAGAACTATATATTGTTTTTACGATTTCTCTAGCGTCAGCAAATAATTGCTTTTTCTTTGCTGGAACACTGGAAGAAGCACCATCAATGTTTTTCCACGGACGCCACATAATGCTGTTTTATAGGTATAAATAGGAATAACACTCCTAACACTTTTAACACTTTCAACTAAATAAAACAAAATGTATATTTAAAAATTTCTCATCGGGTTTATATACTTTTACAAATTATACAGAATAGAGGGAACCTGTATAATTATTCCAGGAAATACTTAACGATCAACAAATTTATTGTGGCCATTAAAAGATGAAATAAAATGTATTCTAATCGTTTTTATAATTTTATACGATTTTTTAATCGTTTTTATATTACCAGGAATTTATGATACAAACAAGATAACGACACTCCACAGTAGCTTCAATTTTTCCTGAATACTTACCTGCTCAAATAATGTTGACTATAGGGTACTTGCGGTCGGATTTTATTGCAATCATTAAGCACTCAACCATTTTTCGTGAAATAAACTATACTTTTAGGTACAAGCAACAAAGTATTAGAGAGTTATTGCAAAGTTAACAGTGCTTGCGTTGCACTATTTACACCGCGCTATTTCGACAGTTTTGACATATGGCTGACACATCACAAATAGAGATATTGCCTGAACTTATGCATACTTTGTTGCGTTATTTACGTTGTTTATGTTTTCTTTTCATTTGTTCGCAAATTATTGAAAATTGATCATGATTTAGAAGTACTTATTATAGCAAATGCTCATGATGATGATGTAGGGTTCATCATTTTAAATAACATTGTGGATGAACATGTATTACATCCACAAAATTAAGAATTTAATTTAGAAAACATGTTGGAAGAGATGTAAAAATAAATTTTAGGTTTACCAGACAAGATATTCCTACACTTGCAAGGTCTTTACGCCTACCAGATTTTATTAATACCAATACTAGAAACTCTGTTAGTGGTAAATGCATTTGCATTCTACATTACTTTTGAAATTAAGCCCTTATATTTTTGTTTTTAGTAGTGATGAGAAGGCTCGCATATCCCAGCAGGCTTAAAGATCTTCAGCTTTTATTCAATTTGTCACCTCAATCATTATCTCAAATTATTAATTATATTTTTGCATTATGCTACTCTCTGATGTACTCATTTTAGAAAATTATTACAAAATAAACTTGGTTTAAATGAAAGACAAACAACATACCTAATATATATAACCTGAGAAAGACAATAGGGCAACGAATTCCGCACAGCGTAACGGCTCCAAAATACCGGCAGGCCGTATTTTCAATAACGCAGCGTAAGCCAAATATCACATCTGCGCATGCTCTACTGTCAAAATAACACGTGCTGTAATACAGCAAGTGCAAAATTGACTCTGCAATATCTTTCTATTTTTATACATATTTGGGTATCACATGCAGCAGCTTAAACTTATTCGTAAACTAGTTCATAAGGTTTTATTATGCAATTTGCAATTTAGTGAAATTTTACTGTAATACAATAATGGATTGTATATTTTAGTATGTTTTATTTTGTGATATTTACGATTTATGTAATTTTAGTAAATTTTAATTGTTATTTTTTTTGACCTTTTGTAAGCTATAAATATGTGACAATAAAGGATTTTTCTATTCTATTCTATTTCTGTAACCCACATGCATCTTTTTCACTTTTACGTTACATTCCTTAATTATCTCATCCATGTATATTATAAATAGCGTTGGACTTAATCCCTCCTTGTCTTAGACCCTCGTTTGTAGTAAATGGTTTTGATGTTCTGTTTTGATTGATGCTACTATTGAGCCTTTTGTCTGTCAATTGGTATATGTTCTTCTGTCCATATGGTATTAAATATATTTAGTAATAACTATTGCATTTTTTTCCCATTTTTTATCATTTCATTTTTATTTTGCTTCCTGCAACTCATTTATGGATATTTGACCTACATTATCATCTTCTATTCTTTGGTTCAACATGTTATTTTCTTCTTGACATAAGTGTGTTTTTGTAGCATCTCTTGGAAATATTTTCTCTATCTGTTCATTATTTCATTTTCTTCTGTGAGAAGTTCGCCAGTTTTATTGTTTATGTTTTTTATGTCTTGTATTTTTGCTTTTCTCATTGATTTTAAAACTCCATAGAACAGTTTCTGATTCTGTTTACTGTTTTTTTTTTCATATTTTCTCAAAATTCTGTTCATTTATCTTTTTTTGCTTTTGTAACAAATTCTTTTACTAATCTTCTATATTTTTTCTATTTATAGCAATTTTTTTTCTTTTCTTTTTTTAATTTGTTTGTCAAATCCTTATTTAAGTAAAAGGTTTGTCAAAATATTAAAGATGTGATAGTATATCATAAATGTTATAAAACAATTTTTTGTTTCAGGGAAAAGCACAAGGCGATCGAGGAATTCTGTGGGTACGAGGTCGAATTCAGCAACAGCTTCATGTCCTAGGGAAGATCCTAGACACACATGCTGGGAAAGTCCTCTTCGTGAGCATTCTAGCCATCTCGACCTTCTTGGTAGGTCTGAAGAGCATGACCTTCCATTCAGACATCGAGCTGTTATGGTCAGAGCCCTCAACCACCCCCGACACTTTACCTCCAGAGATGCTATCCACTCATCAGATGGTTCTTCAGACAGGTATGATCAATATTACGTAGTAATTTTTATTTACCATAAACTAAGTTAGGAATTGTAGAAACTTTAAGATTCGGAAATAAACTTCGAACTATTTTTCATATTCCTTGATTATCAGAACGTGATACATGCTTAGTATTTTCAAAGTCGAAATGTTCATAAAGATTTCTTATTTTCCCAGTTACGTGACATTCTTCCCGTCAGAGTAGCCATTCAGGCACAGTAATATATGTGTATATATTTATAAAGGACAAATTACACTGTTTGTAGTTGTAGTTTTTTTGAAGAGCGTATTTAAAAATATTAAAGAAAGAACAACACAAATATAAATAAGATGATGAAAAATATATAAACATAATTGGTAAAATAAAAACTTTACATACATAGGAAAAAATGTAATACTTTACGTTTAAATAAAATAAAAATAATAAAATGATGAAATAAAAAATAGTAAAAGCAAAAATCCTGATGGATTTAACACAAAAATTATTAATACTATTAACAATATAATTGTCCAACCTCTAACAACTTTAGTAAATCAATCAATATCTTGTAATACTTAACCAAAAGTTTTCAAAACTTCAAATGAGAGAGTTAACACTGTTTTATTTGCTGATAACACGACTTTATATGTAAGCTATCACTATCTAGATAAATAATTTCCCCATCGTTGGATTGGCTGAGTTAGTGAAGTAACCCCATAGATTAGTAGATTTTTGATTAATAGAAGTACTATTGCAGCAAATGGTAAATTCCGCTAATTTTATTGCCAATCAGCCAAACATATTTTTTTAAAATTAAAAGATCGTTTAACGAAAGAAATGATAAGATTATTGAGGTAAATGGATGTCACATTGAAGATCCGTTATAAAAGATTTAGTTAAAATGTGTTTTTTGATATTTTCGTCTTATTAAAATTGACTATATATCTATAAATGAACAAGAAAGAACAAAAAAATCTTTTTTTCGAATCAAAAATATTGTGTTATTAAAAAAATAAATTTTGTTTCAGGATTAGATCCGGACGTGGACCTCTTGAATCCCCACGGCCTCCTTGAACATTTAGCCTTAGTACAGAAAGCTACACAAGTTACTGTTACAATGTACGATATTACCTGGCGACTGAAAGACTTCTGCCAATCACCTAGTATTCCTAACTTTGATCTCCAGTACGTCGAGCAAATTTTCGAAAATATGATGCCTTGTTCCATTGTTACGCCGCTAGATTGCTTTTGGGAAGGGTCCAAACTACTTGGACCTGAGTACCCAGTTCACATACCGTAAGTGTTGTGCATGATTTTAGCCATAGATATTCATTTGCAGTATGTAAGATTAATAGCTTGTTTTGTGTACAAAATCAAGAAGTATCTCATATTTATAATGTATCCGTCATATATTGGAATGACGCAAAGGAAACAATATTTTTGACTACAGTTATGTTTGTTGCTGTTTAACTCTGTAACAAAGTAGTCTACAGTAGAAATGGTAAAAATAAACTGATATTTTGAGAGAAATTTAGAAATTTTCACTACCAATAGAAAACCAATTCTAATTAACCAAAAAATACCACTTATGTCATCTTTTGATAAATGATTAAGACTCTGCGAAATAAGCAAAAAAAGTACCCTGTTTGTGACAATGAATTGAACTGAATGTTAATAACTTTTTTAAAAATAAACTTAGAACCTTCATATTGCACGGAGTACTAGTTCCGATGGTGTTTAAAGTATGATCATAATTTCAAAACGATCGATCAATAGTTTAATAGTTATTTAATTTTTTATCCCAAATTAAACTTTCCAACAATATAAGTCAGAAAATGATTAAGTTGCAGTAATTCTATAAATAGTTTATGAAAGAAGATTTCTTCTCTCAATGTTATAAAAAAAAAGAAAAACTATTTTAAATATTGCAAAATTATTTTGCAAAAACATGTCGATTTTTTGCTTATAAACAATTAGAATAACTTTTAAACTGTTGCCTACACGAAAATTATTTTTCCATATTTCGAAAGCTTGTATTTTTTACAATTTCTAAAAAAGAAAAAGTCGTCTTAAGACAATTTGGGACGAAGTTAGTCCCTTTTATTTAAATTGACAACAGCTTTGTTTAGAACAATTATCAAGATATCTAATTAACGTCATTTGAAAAAAACATACTTTAAAGTTTTAATGTGACAAATTTGAAAGAGATTACCTTTCAATGAAATCGTCCCCAAAGCTTCAAAATGTGGTCCTCAAAATCGAATGTCTTGCGAAAACGATGGAGGGGAGGGAGCTGTTAACTGTATCTCTAAATATTGATAAAATAGATGTTCTTCTTTTTATAACTAACTTCATAGTTTTCTGATTTGTAATTTCATAATTTTCTGACTTATAAGTATTATTGCAAAAAAATTTAATTTGGGATAAACAAATTAAATAACTTTTAACATACTTACAACTAATATGAAGGTTCTAAGTTTATTTTTAAAAAAGATATTAGCTTTTATAATCAACCAAAATGTCTGACTTATTTTGCAACGTTCTGAGCAAAAATAAGGATAAAAACATTAAAAAAAACGCCATTTTGAAGGTTTTTATATGATTTATAAGTTTATTACTATTAAATTTGTTTTAAGTGCTTCACTTTTTGCTAGTAGACCAAAACAGGGAAAATTTACTATTTTTTGACATTCATTTGTTAATAACTTATTAACCCATATATTACTGAAACTATTTTTTTTTAATTTTATCTTTACTTAAAGGAAATATAAGCATATGCGTCTTATTTAACGACAAAAAATACTAAAATAATAATTTTTGCATTAGCTGTCATGTTCTTTTAAAAGGACAGCAGTAAGAAGCAGTATATATTAGAAAGTAAAACATTATTAATAGAAAAATAATTACAAAGTATGGAAATCCTTAAACATTGTTTAGAGTGTAATGGTATTTTACATTTTCGCACAAAAATTAAACCTTTTTCTTGCAAAGGAAGCAACAAGATTGTTTTTCTTGATAAACAATTAAATGGTTCATACCATCTATCTTGAATGTAAGACTGTGTTGAGATTCCGTCTTGTTGGACAACGTTTGGTATCTTTTTGGTAGGCTTCCAGAAGGTTGCAAGCTATTTGTGTTCTAAATTCAAGCTGATCAAGGCTTCCTCCGTCTTTTCGGTCCAATTGCCATGCGTTTTGAAGAGCCGTGTCAATTCCATGTACTATTAGCGGAAAGTACCATTTTTCCCTCTTATAGAGATCCTATAAAGACTAATGTTTTGGTCACAGCGGTCTACGCCACCCATAAAAGAATTGTATTGCTTTATCATATTTGGTTGAGAAACAAAAATGTGTCTCTCCTTATGGGAAAACCGTTTGACTAGGTCATGTGATTTTACTGAACAAAAGTTAGATGCAATTGTAACGACACTATTGTCGTGCCAGCGACAAACCACAATTCCTGTGTTTTTATCTAATCTGTAATCGTAAGTTCCCCTTCCTTTTTTTTCATAGCTGTTGGAGCGAATAGGGGGCATTTTAGCAAACGGTGGAATCTCGTTTTTGGCCAGCGTGATTGAACACAAAACAACCGACGAACCAAGACCCAAGTTTTTGTATGAGGCTGGTATTTGCACTGAATTGCCTTGATACGGTGTAAACCATACAAATAACCTAGACGGAGAGTACCCATCCAAAGCTTATAACCCCAACGAATGGGTTTGTTTCGTATAAATTCCTTCGTAGGGTGCCTTTCAAAAGATGGTACCATAGCTTCATCTAGGCTATGTTCTTGTTCGAAAGGAGGGTGATTTAAAAAAAATTTATTCAATGGCCGTATTTTAGCAAACTTATCTGTTTTGTCCAAACTATTATTATCACACACATGAAGAATTTTCATTATATGGAAAACTCTATCTCTCGATAGAGCTCCAGCGACTTTTTCATTCTGACTATCATTACTATTTTCCCAAGTCATATATCTTTCTGGTAACACCACGTAGCCACTCAAAATGAGCAAACCCACAAAACACCTCATTTCATTATCTGTAACATCACTAGTCAAGTTTTTTGTGCCGCATATGTATTTGTATATGTTGTTATCATATTGAATAGGTTGTCGTCAAAAAATAGCCTGAAGAGCTGTAATGGCGTGCGATTTTGTTTAGGTCCGATTTCTGGTCTTCAGTAACTATCTTTAGGATGATGGTACAGATTACCAGTAAGCCATTGTGCAGATCCTAGTTTTTCGAGAATAATCAAAGGTTTTGTGGTTTTTCTTTGCGTAGTGTGTCAAGAGGTACTCCCATTGATACAGTGGGAAGAGAGTTTGGCCTAAACATAAACTGTTCAAAAACAAAACACATGGTGTTTAGCCGTTTATCACATCAAGATGCACGATTATATGTTGATGGTCATATAATTCAAAGAGTGTCCAGTTTTAAATATCTTGGTTGCCATATCAGGCAACCAATTCAGGTTGCTTGAACAACTAGATCCAGATCAAGAGATAAAATGTAGAATCGAGATAGCCCGCACGACATTTTTAAAAATGAGGTCATTCTTCTGTAATGATAACTTGAAACTTCAACTTCGAAAGTGTATGGTTAAATGCTACATTTGGTCAGTCCTCTTATACGGTGTCGAAGCATGGACATTAAAAATATCCGCCATTAATCGTCTGGCGGCCTTTGAAATGTGGCTGCACAGACGTATACTAAAATGTGGCAGTCCTTGAGAGAGCAAATGCTGCTCGCGAGCTGCTTGATAACATCAAATGTAGAAATATGGCCTATTTTGGACACGTAGTAAGGAAAAAGCGATATAATATTCTTCAACTTATTATGATGGGTGAAATCGAAGGACGCAGAGGAATTGGTAGAAAGCAGGCCTCTTGGTTGAAGAATATCAGAGAGTGGACAGGAATAAAGAAAGCTGAGCAACTCTTTAGAATAGCTCGAGACAGACATTTTCGCCATGTTAATCGCCAACGTCAAGGGGACTTGATAGGGCACGTTAAGAAGAAGAAGGCAAGAGGTACGTCGTCGTCGTCGGAATCTGATTCTTCTGCACTCTGATCTTGATTGTCGAAAATAACCTCTACGTCATTTCTTAGCTGGCTTCCTGGTAAATGATCTATCGTTGTGATATCCTCATCTCCTTAATCGCAATCTGTTATATTATCATTTGCATTGTCTGGAGGAAAAATAATTATACCATCAGGAGGCGTTGGAATCTCATCTGTCTCAAAATCTGCAATTAACTCACGCAATTTTAACGGTTTCCTAAAAAATAACCATTTTGTAGTTCTTATTACTACTGTCCTTTTAAAAGAACAAAATAAAAATGGCCGTACACAAGAAAGTAACAAAAAACTCAAAGCTATATTTCCACTATAATTACACGTAAGTAAAGCAATGACTAGCAAATCATGTAAGACTCCCACATTTGATTTGTAATTAAAAAAAACTTACCTTCAATTAGCAATATCCATGTTTAATTAAAAAAACAAAACAATGCTATGCCGGTACGTAAACAAACTTTTAAAGGATTCCCCAAACCGACGCGAAACTTTCGCAGCGGAATCGCGGCGAATCGTAAGGCACGGCGACTTAATGCATGTGTTCAGACAAGTTCGGACGGAAACCGGAACGGTCGCGGCAGAACAGCGTTGACGTTTCATGAAACGCTGCATGCACGGTTTTTTCCGCTGCAGTTATAGCAAGTTATAGTTTCGCGTGAATTATTAAAATGGCTGTTACAGAAAAACTAATTGAAATTGTGAAACAATATCCTATAATTTATGATTTAAGTGACGAAGATTATAAAAATATAAGAAAAAAGGATAAAGTCTGGGATAATATAGGGTCATTTCTAGGAGAAAATGGTAAGTTTTCATTATATATTATATATAATGAATTTAATAGTGCTCCGCCTGCGAATGTTCCGCAACGGTTTCGCGTCGCAAAAGTTTCGCGTCGGTGTGGGGAATCCTTAAAGCGAGCAACTGATGAAATATCTTGATCGATATGTTTGACAATAAACCCCACAATAAAGTTTAAGTTATCAATTTAAGGGAAATAGATCGATTGTCTTTTAAAAGTACAGTAGTAGTATGTGGGTAAAGTCCAAAAAATCGACTGCAGGAAACATATAGGTTCTTGTTACAGAGATCCATACTACTCAAACCAACTGTGGTTTGCATGGTCGGCTCAATGTCACGAAAAAAATATTTTTCCCTGTTCTAAGATTCCAGCCAAAGGAAACTAAAGGTAGCAGCAATTTATGATATCGAAAAAT